CTGATGAAAACCCTTAAGTTGGCTTCGTTGCGTGGAGCTACGCTTCTTCTGCCATGGTAGGTCACAGCTCAAGGAGAACAGCAAAGGCTCTAAGCTCTGCTTCGGTTTAGCATCCCTAAACCCTAAGCCCTAGGCCCTAAGCCCTAAACCCTACACCCCAAGCAATAAACCCTACACTCCTTATTTGCAGTGCCAGCTGCCGTCTCGGTCCTCTCGGACTTGAGGATCGTCTTGAAGACCTTACGTGAAGGTTCATGGGTACTTGTAACCCCAAATATACGTCTACTTGTAACCTGCTTAGAGGACTTAGGGGACTTAGGGTTTACCTTGAAACCCTAACCCGTAAACCCCATGCTAGTTCGGTGTCACGCAGGGCTTCGTCATGCTTCTTCTAAAGTGTGCGATCATCCTTTCGGCACTCTATAATATATTATATATATACATATATATATATATGTATGTATATTAGTATATATATATATAAACACACATATTATATCAAATCCAAACTGAGCCTTGGACTAACCAGGTCGTCTTTGAAAGCTGGGGTTCCCTGTATGGTTCAGGGGTGTTTTGGTGTTCCTTGTATGGTTTGGGGTTTTTTGGGGGTTCCTTGTATGGTTTAGGGTTTTTTTGGTTCGCCGTCTGCCTAAAGCCCGAACACTCGAATCCCAGACCCACACAAGCTTTTCAGAACTCCAACCCCGCAAGCTTTTCCCAAAAACCCTAAACCCTGAACCGTAAACCCTAAACCGTAAACCCTTTTTCAACCCGCAGCTCTCTTTGAGAACAGCCCGTTTCCTTCTTCTTGTCAGCCCAGTAACCAGTACTTCATAAGGGAACCTTGAACCAAAACAAAGGGAAAAGGGTACCACTGGGCTACCAAGTTTGTCCGATAAAACCCAAGCCCTTTTGGGCATCTGGACTTGTCGCCCTACTTGGAGGTTCATGGGTACGTATAAGTAGGGTTATAAGTAGGGTAACTATGGTCATGACCCTTATTTGGGTACTTGTAGCCCTACCTAGAAGTACCCGAATGAACCTTCAAGTAGCCCTAAACCCTAAACCCTAAACTACTAGACCCCACATCCTAGCTACTGTTCTGCGTACTTGCAAGCCTCGGCGCTCCGCCCGTCGGCCGATCTCCGGAGGGCCTCGAGATCTGAGCCACCCAAATGAAGTCTATGTACGTCCGTATGAGGGCCTTAGTATGTAGTATATTATAGTATGGGTCTGCTGAGTTGCGGTTCGGGAACTTAGGTCAAGTCACTGTAACACGGACACACTACAAGCATAGGTACATTCTGGCAAGCTCACCTCCCTAAACCCTAAACCCTAAACCCTAAACCCTAAACCCTAAGCCCTGTTTAGCTGCAACCAAAAGTGGCGAAAGCTGGATGCTTGGATGTTTGAGGGTCGAAGGTAAGTGCATGTGAGCCTGCGTGGGGGTGGGAATTGCAGCTTACAGGGCCCAAGAACCCAATAGGGGTCCCCCATATATCCCCCCAAATAGCATAATCCTTATACTAGGAACCCCAAAAAGGGTACCCCCCCCCCCCCATTTTCGGAAATCCCCAAGTGGGGAGTAGAGGCAAGTCGAACAACGCCGCCAAGAGCTTGCAAGTAGCAACGCGCTGATGGAAGCAAGTGGCCAGCCGCTCGGAATCCAGTGCCCCCATCCCTGCGAGTAGCCTCCACGGTTTAGGGTTTAGGGTTTAGGGTTTAGGGTTTAGGGTTTAGGGTTTAGGGTTTAGGGTTTAGGGTTTAGGGTTTAGGGCCGCAAACGCACTCCATGGCAGCGAAGTTTTCCGTTTAAGACCTCCTGTTTCCGTCGGATCCCAACTCCCACCACCCCCCCCCCCCCCCCCCCCCAAACAAAAAAAAAGGGTGCTACTTTGGGATGTTCCCCCTTAGACTAGCAGTCCTTATAGGGAGTATAGATAGGTTAGCATAAGGGGGGAAATCCCGCATGCTACTTCCCCCTCTAAACCCTGCTTTTTTGAACCCAGAAGTCAGCCCTAAACCCAACCCCCCCCCCGGCAAAAAAAAAGGAAATAATAAATAAGTAAAGTATACATATATATGTATTATATAAAAGCCTAGAGCATCGGCAGCCACATGAGAAAACAACGGCATGGATCCCAGCGGGTAACCCCCGAATGCCTGGAGCGTCTGCATTTAAAGCATTTCCTTTTTCTGGGGTTCGGGGTGTAGGGGCAGGGCCCTGAAGCCTAAACCCTAAACGAGTAGTTTAGGCCGGCTCTGGATTTATGGGGTTTTGGGTTCAGCGACTAGACGCTTCAAGCTCCTCTCCCCCCAAAAGCGAACTGGCAAGCTGCAGGTTCAGGGTTAGGGTTTAGGGTTAAAGTTTAGGGTTTAGGTTTTAGGGTTTAGGGTTTACGGTTTAGGGCCCAACCCCCAAAACTCTGAACCTCCCCTCCCACAAAAAATAGGTTGAGGCAAGCAAGCCAGGCTGTGTCTTGCCATCCTCCTTGTCCAAGGCACCAGGGAGGTTGCCCATACCGCGGCCATACTCGGACAGCGCCCAGAAGGATCGCTTCAGACCTGTAAACCCGTCTAGGGTTCGGGTTTAGGGTTTGGAGGATCTTCTTGGGTTCTGCTAAGGAGGGTCACTAAAGTGGGGGAAGTGTGGTTATAACCTTCTTCAGGCGTACCCATGAACCGCCACCCTGATTTATAGCGGTCTTAAGGGAGGGGGGTTCATGGGGGTAGGTACCTAGAGAACCTTAGGGAAGCTTAGGGAGTAGCAGGGAGTACTTAGGGAACCTTGGGATACGTACCCGGAACCCTAAACCCTAAACCCTGCTAAGCCCTAAACCCTAAAACCTGGTAAACCCTAATCCCTAAACCCTGAACCCTAAACCCTAACCTCCCCTTGGGGGTTTGGGGGGCAAAGGAGTGCTGGGCTGCCCCACACCGAGGACCGAGTTCCCCCGCCCACAGTATGATTGTAAAGGGGTTTAGGTTCAGGGCTCAGGGCTCAGGGCTTTTAGGGTTTAGGGATACTTGAAAGTCCATGGACCCTAAACCCCCAAGTTACAACCCTGACCTACAAATCCAGCACCCTGGGGGGGTCTCGGGGCGCACTGTACATCAAGGAGCGTTTGCCAGAGTCCTAGAACAGTCGATTTCCAAATCCGAACCCTTCATGAGATGTACAACCACACTACTCCTTTCAACCCTCTCACTGGCTCATATCTGTACCCTAAACTCCTACTTGGAGGTTCAGGGTACTTAAAACCCCAGTTACAGCTGCACGTATCAGACCCCAACTTCCCCTATCAGACCCCAACTTCCCCTAAGTCCTCTAAGTAGGTTACAAGCAGACATAGAATTGGGATTACAAGTACCTATGAACCTCCAAGTAGCCCTGTGCATTCTGAAGGCCAACCCCCTAAACCCTAAACCCTAAACCCTAAAAACCCAAAACCCAAAACCCAAAACCCAAAACCCAAAACCCTAAACCCTAGCCCTAAACCCTAAGCCTAAAACGTAACCCTCCACGGCCGCCGCGGGGCGGGCGGCCAGGGCTAGAACTCCGTCTCCGCCGAGTCCGAAGATCCAGGGCGCCTCGGCTGGACATTTGGAGGTTTGCTTGCTGGCGCTTATAATAGGGAAACCCAACAAACCCTAAAAACGCTATAAACCCTACAAACCCCAAACCCTATATCAATATGGGGATTCGCGAGTTTTTGGGTCCCTGTAGAATTCTGAAAGGCCGGATGCGTGGGATGGAAGGTGCCTAGCTTCCTTTCCACTTTCCATGCCTACTAAACCCTGAACCCTGAACCCTAAACCCTGAACCCTAAACCCTAGACCCTAAAGAACTGGCAAGTTACCCTAAGCTTTAAGAGAGCCCAACGCCCCAAGATTAAGGACTACTTGCCGTTTCCTAGGGTTTAGGGTTTATGGCTTAGGGTTTAGGGTTTAGGATTTAGGGTTTAGTATAGGGAATGGCCTGTTCCCTCTGACAAGACTGTTTGGACCACGCTACCCCTGCATTGCGACCCAAAGCTCAAGCCTGGAAACGAGATGCTGTTGGGGTTTGCCTATGGTTTGAGGGCCCTGGCCCGAATCCTAAACTCCCCGTACCCCCGACCCAAGACCACAGAAAATGTAAGATGATCGACTCTAAACCGTAATCTTTTTGCAGCCGGGAACCCGAATTAAACCCTAAAACCTAAGACGAAAGCATGTTCAACGTTTGAGTTTGCCTCACCGCATGGCGAGGTGCGGGGAGTGGCAGGCCCTAGCAGTTCTTGTCGTCTCGGTGCTGCTTGCTCCAGGGCTCTGCTAGGGTTTAGGGTTTAGGGTTTAGGGTTTAGGGTTTAGGGTTGCTTGACTGACGCCAAGCCAATTTTGTCTCTTCTGTGCCTGTCAGTCCAAGCTGACTGGGTCTCGAAGCTCCGTTCGCGCGAAATCTAGCCCGAGCCTGTTTTGGCTGGTGTCCAGACCGCTGCTGAAAATGTGCAAGCAGCCGTCTACTGCACTCTGCAAGAATACACGCAGATCGAGTTAACGGGGTGCAGAGACGTGAGCGAGCCAGCACGTGAGCCGAAGCAAACGCCCCACTGCAGAGACAGCGGCAGTGGAACGGGTATCCCGTGAGGCTCCGGATGGATGACAACTCAGATGCCCCAAAACAATACGGTTAAGAGTTTGGGGTTTACAAGAAGTCCTCACAAAGTGGGTAACTACTCTTTGACTTGGAGGCCCCAGGGCAAAACTTGGCAAATAAGTCCTGCGTGCGCAGATTTCTCCGACAAAACACGACCTTGGGTTGGACCCGAAGTGGTCGCGCAGCAAGCTTTGCGCGGGAACGCTGCATCAAAGCAGCGAACAGAGCGGCTGCGTGAGTCAAAGATTGCACGACGAGGACGACACTCACAGTAAAAAGCACTATCGCTTAGCGACAGCTCGCTGAGAATTGGTGGAGCCTTCGTAGGACCTCTGTACTGCCCCACTTCGGTCTCCATAACTTACTTAGGTGTTGCCTCGTCACTTGCCCCCTTTCCGGCGGCGGCCTCTTCGTCCGTGTTGGAGATGTTTGAGATTTCCTTCACGCTGGTGACCTTCTTCACACTGGGCCCAAACATGGACATGCAGACGGGGAGGAAGATGAGTCCATGTGAGCCACCGGCGATCACGATGCCAAAGAACATCTGGAAGAAGACGCGGAAAGCCTGGCTAGAAGAGAAGGCCAAGGGGAGGATGGCAAGGAACGTGGTGCTGACCCCCAAGAAGATGGGCTGGCCCATCTCCTTCATGGCCAACTCTGCGCGTTTGGGCCGAGGCAACGTGCCGTCCTGTAGGCCGAAGCTGTGGGCCATGTGCATGGAGTAGTCCACCACCAGGCCGACGGCCATGACGAGGTTGATCATGGAGATGGAGTTCAAAGCCAGTCCCCAGAGGACGATGTTGCCCATCAGGTCCATAAAGACCAGCGAGAGGACCAAGAGAACCACGAGCACTGAAAGCGGATGCGCCAGGACCAGCGCACTGATAAGGAGCACTGCCCCCAAGCAGAGCCCAATGCTCACTGTCATCTGCTCCACAATGATGCGGTACTGGTCAAAGAAGATGTAGGCCTGGGCGTTCATGAAGCTTCCGGGCAGTGCACTCTGCCACTGCTCTGTGAAGGCCTCTGCTTCCTCAAGCACAGCGACCTGCTCCCTGCTGTTGGTGGTGTCCACGTGGCTGGCCCGGAGACGGACCACCTTCACCTGCCCATTCTGGATCACCACGTCATCTTCGAAGGCCCGGCCCGTGGGAGTCGCAAAGAACTCCTGCAGCGCAGGCAGGAAAGTGCTGCCGGTCACCAGGAAGCTGCTGCAAGTGCTGACTCCCGAAGGCAAGCCAGCCTCGCAGCCTGTGCGGTTCGTCTCAACCGCCGTGAAGGCGCTGTGGGGGAGGGAGGCCAGAACGCCCTTGTTCTGCACGGCCCAGAGGGTGAAGATGGTGTGCCTCTACTCCCCTTAAAGAACCTTAATAAAAAAATATATTTAACACCCTCTTGGGTTTTTATCTAAACAACAAAATCATTCCCCAAGGGGGATATAGGTGCCAGGATTGGAGCCCACGGATGTTGTTGACGTTGCTCAGCGCCATCATTGCTGCCCCAGCTTCCTCGAGGTGCCTTTGCACGGCCAGGGACTGGAAGTCCTGGTCCATCGCATAGAAGGCCGTGGGAAGGGCCAAGCCGCCTGTGGAGAGGCCCCCGAAGTGCTGAATCTCTTGGTTGTAGAAGTCCCGGAGATAGCTCTGGTCTGGCGACAAGTCCATGATGTCGAAGTCGGTGCTAAGACCAAGGCTGACCTGCCAAGCAGACAGGGCTGCCACCAGAAGAAACACAAGGATCGTGGCGAGGGAGATGGCCGGATGGCTGGTGAGGAAGCGGATCATCGCCACGAGCATCCTCTCGAGGGGCGAGGCTTTCTCCGAGCCCTTCCCTGGCATGCACGAAGCCCTGGCCCCGATGCAGAAGCACGGGTCGAGTCGAGGTGGATCTGCGCTCGCGCGCCGGGCATCAAGGGCCAGAATCGCGCAGAAGGTGGTGCAATGGAGTAGCCAGATGTAGAAGCAAGAGCAGGACGCATAGGCACAGAACCACTTCACCGAGGGGAAGACGCCGGTGGCACCTAGGAGGAATGAGGCGATGGAGGTGACCTTCGTGAGGGTGATGGAAACGCCGACACGCTGCATGGCCTTCTCAATGCGTTCGGGGATTCCCTCCGAAGGGTCCAAGGCATCAAAGGCGCCGGAGATGACGAAGGCGTCATCGATGCCAATCCCAACCAAGATGAAGGGAAGGATCTGCTGCAGCACGGTGAAGGGGATTCCCATCAGCATGCAGGTTCCATAGCCCGCAATGCACCCGAAGATCACGAGGTAGAACTCGACGAGCCCTAGCAGCCTCCGACTCTGTGTCCAGGACGTGACCTTTCCCAGGAAGACAGCGCAAAAGGAGCCCATGAGAACGAAGGCCATGGCGAAGAGTGGGATGTCCGCCTGCACCGTGCGGCTCAGCTCATCGTCACTGGAGCGCTCGGCCTGCACGAAGGCGCTCACGTGCTGGTAGCTTTGCTCGGTGAGGTCGTCCTTCGTGAAATGCTCTATCAAGGCCTTTTCCCACGCTTGCAGAACCTCGGAATCTCCACTCAAGATGAAGTCGACCCGGGCGGCCGTGGCACTCGTGATGCTTCCGCTGTTGTCGCGGACAAGGCCCCCCATGGAGTCATCAGCGAAGGCCGGCGCACCATCCGGGAAGTTTGCCTTGTTCACGGCCAGGAGGATGTCTGCCTCTTAGTAATGTTAACGTCGCTTTAATAAACACCCCCCCCCCCCCCCAAAAAAAAACTTGTTTTGGTCCCCGGGGTTTGGAGGGGTAGAAAAAAACGAGTGGGTGCCAATAATGCGGATTCTGGGGGTCTTGGGGGGGGTTAGCTGTCAGGGTCTGCTGTGCTTGGTCTCGAAGGGTTCTGCTTGCTCTCGGAGCTCGAAAAGTCTTCTCTGCAAGTAAAATTTCTGATTCCTGGCCGGCCAAATATTACTGTTGTCACCCCATTATGATTTTCACCGGACCCCCCTATATAGACTTGTTTACACACATCGGCCCGAAAACCTCCCGTAATGGAAAGTAGTCTTCGGCTGAGCCCCTCTGGCCCGGCGAATATTACAGTTGCCACCCCATTTATAGATGTGAGGTTAACATTAGCCCAGTAGCCCTATATATTAATCAGGGCACCCTTCTTTTAAGTTGGCTACTCAAGAAGGGTAAAGGGTACCACTCTGGGCTAGCCCAAGGCCTGTGTCTGGACCGTCTGGTTGAAGTCGGCGGAGGTGCCAGTTCCGAAATATCGGCGGATGCCCGGGTTCAAGCAGCCGGAGGGCACCTGGAGGCATACGTTGGCAAAAGCATTGCCGTTCTCATCCGTCAGGGCTTTGACATCATCCGCCAGGCGGAAGATCTCCGCCATCGTCTCCATGCGAAGAATGCTGCCACCATCCTTCGCTGTGACCAGGACTCGATTCAGGCGGCCAGCGTTGGCGAAGTACCTTAGGCGGTTTATGGTTCATATACCCTACGAGAGATTATAGTAGACTCTAAACCCTAAACCCGAAAGTCTAAACCCGAAATCTTCTAGCAGGTATAGGGTAACATGACCCCCTCCCCCCCCCAAAAAAAAAAAAAAAACTGTATATTATTTATATGCATATGTATATATATAGGGTTTCACTGTTTATCCCCAAGGCACTGCTCCGTCCACTCCATGTCCTTCATGGCCTTCGAGTCTTGATCCACCCATAGGTCCCGCGCCTCGCTGGCGGCGCTGAAGCGCAGGACGCCCACGGCGCAGAGCAGGCAGCCCACGACGGTCAGGCCTTAGAGAAGGGCGAAACCCTAAACCCTAAACCCTAAACCCTAAACCCTAAACCCTAAACCCTAAGGCCGTATAATTATGAGGGTTGAGGGGTTTTCATAGTAACCTAGTAGAGGGATCCTAGTAGTTGTAGGGAGGCCTTAGAGAAGGGGCCGTAGAATTATTATAATTATGAGGGTTGAGGGGTTTTCATAGTAACCTAGTAGAGGGATCCTGTAGTTGTAGGGTGGCCTTAGAGAAGGGGCCAGTATAATTAACAAGTTTGAAATTCAAGCATGCATAGAATCAATTTTTTTAAAAAATTTAACAAGAAACAAGGATGGACAGACATCAGCACGTGATTTGCAAATCTTAAATTGAAATTTTCAAAAGTAGAGTCTCAATTTAAAAAGCCCCTCAAAAAGGGGTTGAGGGTTTTCGTACCACCTCGTATAGGGATTGCAGTAGAGTATTTCAAGAGGGATTCTAGCAGCTTCAGGGCATCTATCACCCCCCCCCCCCCAGTTTTAAGAACCCCCAAAAAAAGAATATTCTTCCTTATAGGGGTAGTATAGGGATTACTAGTTTGTATTCTTGGGGAGTTCTTAAACAAATAGTAGCCAAGGGGCTGATGCACTTCCAGGGATTCCGCGCGCACGACTTGGCCACCTTGCCCAGGCCATGGGCCGCAACCTCCTCTACACGGGATGTGCAGCCTTAGTAGCCCAGGAACCATATGATACTAAGGGCACCCTTTGTAGGGTTTAGGGTTTAGGGTTTAGGAAAGCCCAGAGCCAAAAAAAGGGTAAAGGGTACCACTGGGCTACCAAGCAGCTTAGCCAAGCCTGCAAAGGTGACATGGCGCCGGCTGCGGAGAAGGGAAGAGTCAAGAGCGGGACCTCTACGGCCTCGAAGGAGGGGGGGGGCTCTGTGCAACACCTGTCGAGCAGCCGCGGCCCCCGAGTTCCCATTGAGGGCTTTGGGGGGGTGGTGGGCCAAGGCTATGGGCTGCTGATGAAGAGACACCTCTATGCAGGCGCCTGAGCTAGCCTCCCCTCCATGAATGCTTAAGTAGAACCGTAAGACGCTACGGGTAATTAGTCTACAGTGTCTTGCTGCAGTATACGGCATACAAGTGACGATACCTGAGTATAGTATAATACAATATAGTTCACAGTATAGTGTAGAGATCCTCCTGCCGCCAAAAGTGAAGTTGGAGAGGCCTCCGGCTCGTAGTTGAGAAGACTGCGACCCAGCCACCGCCCCGAAACGGTAAACCCTAAACCCTAAACCCTAAACCCTAAACCCTAAACCCCGAAACACTCCTTTCAATTCCCGGCGCCTTGGCCCTGAAGCCCTGCAGAAGAACCTGGAACATCTATGGCAAAACTCCCCAGGGTGACCCAGGCCTCATTCTTCAGGAAAAAAACCATGAGGCAGCAATTAGTACCTAAACCCTAAACCCTAAACCCTAGACCCTAAACACTAAACCCCAAACCCTAATATGAACCCTAAACCTTAAGTATGTAATTGCCATGAGTTACGCCTGTGACACCCAGTACTTGGGTGAAATGTCTTACCCATCCGCAATCTTCTTGCCAACGAGTGGCGAGGAAAATTTCTGCGGCCTGGAGCCATAGCTCGTCGAGCCGTCCTTGCATGTCTGAAGTTGGTAAGATTTACGGCTGAAGTCTTTTTGGGCTTAGGAACTACGAAACCCTAAACCCTACAAAATAATGGTAGCTTATAACCCCCCCTAAATATAGGGCGTAGCCCCCAAAGTAGTAAAATGATTGGAGCCCCAGGTAGGGACAACGAAACCCTAAAGCCAAGGCCTTAAGGGCCATCCTGCTGCATGGCTCCTTGAGAGATGTGCTCGTCGAAGGCCTCGTAGCTCTCCTCATGTCGCAAAATCCATCCATTGGGAGTTAAGGGTTTAGGGTTAGGGTTTAGGGTTTAGGGGTAGGATTTGGGGTTTAGGGTTTTGGGATAGGATTTAGGGTTTATATAGGGTTGTTCTACATTAGATCCCCTCCCCTTTTTTTCACTCTGGGTCCAGGGTATGGGGCTCAAAGTAGGGCTTGATTTCCAAGGTGAGTATGGGCCCGTAATTTGGGTCCCTTGTTGTAAAACGCCTACATACATCATACATATCACTAAGGGCCCATACTTCGGATGCGTATGGGTTTACTCGAGGGTTCACATTTTCATACTCTGCCCTAAACCCTAAACCCTAAACCCTAAACCCTAAACCCTAAACTCTCTGCTTATAATTTAAGGAGTTATAGCCTATGAGGTGGCACGGTAGTTCTGACGTGCCGGTTTCACCTCTTCGCTGGACCCTGTGAAATTTACCCCTAAACCCTAAACCCTAAACCCTGTCCCTAAACCCTAAACCCTAAACCCTAAACCCCAAACCCCAAACCCTAAACCCTAAACCCTACACCCTAACCCTAAACCCTAAACCCTAAACCCTAAACCCTAAACCCTAAACCCTAAACCCTAAACCCTAAACCCTAAACCCTCACCCTAAACCCTAAACCCCGCGCCCCAGTCGCGAAGGCCAGCGGATCGTGAGCGCGGCCTGCCAGCTGCTCGCCGGCCTCCTGGTACTTGGGGGTTCGTGGGTACTTAGAACCCGACTTGTTTAGCGTTTAGGGTTTAGGGTTTAGGGCTGCTTGCTGGTTCATGTGTACTTCTGACCCCAAATATGTGTGTACTTAGAAGCATTGGGTTTAGGGTTTACCGTTTGGGGATTTAGGGTTTAGGGTTCAGGGTTTAGGATTTAGATTGGGTAAGCCCCCTAAGTCCCCTAAGTCCTCAAAGTAGGATATAAGCAGACTTATCAGTGCCCATGGTGCGGCGTTCGTTTTTTCAACCGCCCGAAAGGTTTTGCCACCCGCCAAGCACATGCATAATCCGTTCCCCCTAATATTAAAGGCGCCCCCCCCCCCCCCTCCCTTGTATAAAAACCCCCAAAGGGTTTTTTGTATTGGGGGGGGTTCTTATCGTTTGTCCGAAAAACCAGCCCGTCCTTATTGCAGCACGCTGGCTCAGCAGCCCAGCCTAAGCCTAGACAGCTACGTTTGGAAAAGGTTCATGTTTCTGCTTCCGGCTTCCAACCCTCCCCCCCCCCCCTAACTCCCCCCTCTCTCTGTAGAGATTTTAATAGGGACAGGCACGGGATCGGGATTTGGGCCAGGGGGTTCTTTATATTAGGGGGGTATTAATATTAGGGGGAACGGATTACACAACAGGCTTAGGGTCGTAGGGGTGAAGGTTTCTATCTGAGCATCCCTCACCGAACGCTCCAGCCGGAGAATGCTCATCCCGAACCCCCCTCCCCCCCCCCCCCCCCCGTCCCCCGAAAACGCCGAACTCCTCCTCCAGCTAACAGGGTATAACATCGGCGTATGAGGACCCAAAAACATAACGGTCCTAAACCGTACACCCAAAGCATATACATTAGCCCCGCTGCATCTGCAACCTGGACGTCCTCAGAGAGACCCTGAAGCCCAAACGCCAATTCAAGGCATCTATGCTTTCAACTACTACAAGCAATCATACACTAACATGGGGTTTGGGGTTTGGAGCTTTTTTAGGGTTCAGGGTGCTTCATCCCTTGCTCGTCTATGAATACCACAACCAACCATTCACAAAAAATCGGGGTTTATGGTTTAGGGCCTCTGGTCTACGGTCCTGCAACCAACCAAGCAGGAAGAAGAATAGGCACCTAAAAAGATCTGCAATTGAGGGTCTAGATTTGGTCCGCTACATGCACGTTGTCAGCCACCCAACCGCTGCAAGAAAACACAGGCTCCCACATTGGACCATCAGGACTTCCCTTGAACATCAACGACCTGAGCTTGAAGCTTTTTTTCCTATCTAGAAGTCCCTTCCAAGCGCGAAATTGGCAGAAAGCCTCTCGAACACTTCCCATAGCCCTACCATATTCTAGGGCTTCCCTGTGCACCCTAAGCCCTTTTCACTGAACCCTAAACACTCATCCCTAAACCCTAACCCCGAAACCTTAAACCCTGAACCCTAACCTAAGCCCGCCCTATGCTAAACCCTAAACCCTACACCCTAAATTAAACCCTTTTTCCAAGAGACTTCGCCCGCCTCGATACCCTAAACCCTAAACCCTAAACCCTAAACCCTGAACCCTAAGCCCTAAGACCTAAGCCCTAAACCCTAAACTCTAAACCCTGGCCTCCAAGGGTCCCTTTCAAAACAGGCGGGGCGCCTTGCTGGAGTTGGAGGCGTAGACCCTGTGGCCAGAGGGACTATAGGGTTTAGGGTTTAGGGTTTAGGGCCACTTGGAGGTTCATGGGTTATCAGTAGGGCAACTATGGCTATAGCCATATTTAGGGGACTTGTAACCCTACTTACAAGCCCCCACATGAAGTTCCAAGCAGGGTTTAGGGTTCACAAAGGCTTTCCAGGACTTTGAAGGTTTGAGGTTAAACAATTATGGGTCTGAACCTTGCGCAGGTTGAGTTTCTTGAGCGACATTAGGTCGAGGGCAAGAGGGCTGGAGGTGAAGCTATTCACCAGCAGCATGCATGTCACACTCAGCCAACGCTCCTCTCAAACCCTAACGCCACACCACTTGCCCCCTCCAACACCTAGCTGGAGGGAGATGCAAGGGGTTCTTGTCTAGGATGGCGCCACGCAGATTGCCAAGTGCAACGCACTCCACCAAGAGACGGGTGACAAGTCTCGGAGTGAGACACTCCTCAGGGCGACATCTCGGCGACGACGATGCAGCAGTTGAGCACCAACCCCCTTTTCAGTTCGGGATCGCCTGAGGCCAACGGTTTATGTGGGTATTTCCCGACATAGTTGTACTCCTTTTGTTACCCCAAATAGAATAGAATCCCCTTCAAGGGACCCCCAAACAGGGTACCCCTATTTTACGGGAACTCCCCCATATGGCAATTCTGGCTGAGCCAATCTACCGGCAACGTCCTACACCTTTTGCCGGGGAAACGTGCTACACTGTTGCGCCGTAGATCCCCAAACCCTAAACCCTAAACCCTAAACCCTAAACCCTAAACCCTAAACCCTAAACCCTAAACCCTAAACCCTGTGTGCATTGGACTGCTAGGCTGCACTTCCAGCCTTTCTCAACCTGAGCATCGGCGATCCTTGAAAAACATGAGCCCCCGTATACTAACAGCCCTTCATTCATAGGGATTATAGTACCCCTCATTACAATCCCTACCCTTATAGTAAGTATAACAGTCCTTACTAGGGATTATAGTAAGGAGCTTTCAGTAGAAGGGGGAACATCCCAACACATGAGCCGAGCTCCCAAGACCTGCGTGCCTCTTCAACTCAAAAAAGGACTTGTTTCGGGGCTTCGTGAGGCTTCCACAGGGCAGACTGTAGGAGATTTGTGGGATTAAGACCCGGAAGCCCTATCACCCCCCCCCCCCCCCCAGAGAAAACGATCCCTACGAACACGCCTAACTCCTGAACTCAAGAACATCGCACAGTCCCTACCAAGCAGCCTGAAACCCAAATCCGGAACCCGACCAACCCTTGAAAGCCTCAAGTCCTACTTATCCTCGTGGTAAACTCGTCATCAAGCCCCTCTAAGCCCCAAGTATCAAGTAACGTCAAGCCACCTAAACTCTAAACCCTAAACCCTAAACCCTAAATCCTAAACCCTAAACCCTGGCGGCGCCTCACCCAGGTCACGGGCCCCACCTCTCGCAGCTCCTGTCGTTCGGAACCGCCACACACGCACTCCAAATCAAACTTCCACTTTAGGAATACGCCCTTTCCGCATACAACTCCACAAGTCCCAGCATTTCCCTAAGCCCTAAACTCCAAACCCTCAAAACTTTAAACCCTAAAAAATGCTACACCCTCAACCCTGAACTGCACCTGCGAGCCTTGAGGACCCCATAATTATGGTGGCCCACCCCCCCAAAAAGGGTACCCTCATGATAGTATAGGTACTATAATATGGTAAGGGAAAGGGGGGGGGGGTTCGTGGGGGCCCCTAAACCCTAAACCCTAAACCCTAAACCCTATAAACCCTAAACCCTAAACCCTAAACCCTAAACCCTAAACCCTAAACCCTAAACCCTAAACCCTAAACCCTAAACCCTAAACCCTAAACCCTAAACCCTAAACCAAACCCTAGCCCTAAACCCTAAACCCTAAACCCGAAACCCTAGCCCTAAACCCTAAACCTCAGGGAATCTCGAGGCCCCGAAGCCTCAACGGCACAGCGGCCAAAGGCCACATCGCCAAGGCCGTCGGGAAGCGCCAGGGACAACACCAGCAGCCCTGGAAGAAAAGGGTTTAGGGTTCAGGGTTTAGGGTTCAGAGTTTAGGCTTTGGGGTTTGGGGTATAGGGTTTAGGGCAGCCCCCACACCCCTAAAAAACGAGGGGGGGGGGGGGGGGGGGTGATATACTGAGGTGCTCTGAACGGAGGTGGCTTAGGGGTTTCCATTTTAGGTTTAGGGCCTTAAGTGCTCTGATCATGATTCTCGCAAGCCCTTCTTTGCCTCTGCATGGCAGGTCGTGTCCTGCAGGCAGCTCTGACCCTTTAGAGCTAAACCCTAAACCCTAAACCCTAAACCCTAAACTCTAAACCCCCAATCCCAATCCAAGCACTCAGCCCAACCACCTGAAACCTGCCGAACTTTTTCCTCTCGCACCCTAGACCCACAAAGCACCTTAACCCTTTTAAGCCTCCCCCTGAACCCTTAAACTTACTGGCCCAAAACCCAAGGAAATAAAAGTTTAAACTTTCAGAGTAAACTACCTTATAAGAAGCCCAAAAGTTGAAAAGTTGGGTTTTGAGCCAGTAAGTAAAACCATTTTATCCATCTGCTCCGGTTGCTTCGTCATGCTGAGCTGCTGGCAGCCAATGACCGAAAACCCCTGAAAATAAGGGATGGGCGCAACTTCTGCGAAGAGCTACGACGCCGCGTTTGCAAAATATCCATCCTGCACCCTAAAAAATTTAAGTCTAAGCCAATACATATTGAGACCTGTACCTGACAAAGCAAAACTGCCAATATGGTCACCTGCGAGCAAAACCAAGGACAACCCAAAGCCCCAAGACCCTGTTGCAACCGGGCTTGCCCTACGAACCTCTAACCCCCAAACCCTAAAACCCTAAAACGCCAAATCCTGACTCCCCAAACCCCCTAAACCCTACACCCCCAAAATCCCAAAAAAAAGCCCAAAAGAACAAAAACACCGAAAACCCCAAAAACCTCAACGCCTCTACGCCTTGAAGCCTAAACCCTAAACCCTAAACCTTAAACCCTAAACCCTAAACCCTAAACCCTTAAACCCTAAACCCTAAACCCCTAAACCCCAAAACCCTAAAACCCTGATAGGAGCCTGGCGGTTCGTTCGCCTCAACCCATGCCGCAAGCAGGAGAGGAAGCCAAGTGCAAGGCGACATTGCCAAGATGTTGCAGAGAATGACTCAGAGGTTCCCTAATTATGGTACTTCGAAGTAGGGTTTACAGGTTTAGGGTTCTTATAGGTTTCCTAATGAGGGTACTTAGAAGTAGGGTTTATAGGGTTTAGGGTCCTTATGGTTCCCTAATGAGGTGTTTAGGGTTTCGGGTTTCGGGTTTGAAGTATCTTAGATACGGGTAGAACCATATTTACCCGACTTAGAGCCCTCCTGATAAGTACCAAGATAAGTACCAAGAACTAGATCGTTGACCCACTGTGCGCATGACCCTAACATGAACCCGAACCCTTGTCACCTTGTTACCAAGCCTGGGGGTTAGGGGGGGGGAGTTCGCTTTCTCCATATTGAGTAAGAGGTTGTGGGGAAGCTTTGGGAGCTTCACGGTACGAACTAGGGTTTAAGGGTTTAAGGGCTTTAACTTGTGGTTTGGGATGACTATTGAGGGCCCAAGGTCTGATTACAAGGCTTTCCACGGTTTAGGGTTTAGGGTCTAATTAGGGTCTAATTAGGGTTTAGGGTTTAGGGTTTGGGGTTTGTAGGGTAGGGCTTGTGGGCTTGAGGGCGGGCTTTTTCTCGTTGAGGCCTGCCATGCGGCTGGATGAACCACTGCGCTGGGACTCATCTGATTGAGGGGAAAAAGGAGGGACCCCTAGAAGGGACCCTTAATCCTATTCCCCTATATATACCTTGCATAGTCCCTACATGCCGAAGCAGCCCCTAAATAACCCCTACATGGTTCAGGCTTGAGTGTTTTCCGGGTTCACTGAGGTAGCCCATGCTAAAGGGCTCTACGGGCTGCCGGCTGAGAGAATACCCTACACGCCTATACACCCAACACCCTAAACCCTAAAACCCTAAACCTCCAAAACCCTAAACCCTAAACCCTAAACCCTTAACCCCAAGCCCTAAGCCTTACAAAAGGCCCCTGGTCATCTTATGGCTCCCAAGGGTCCCATCGCTACAAGTTGAGGCTTTAGAGCAGTTTAGGGTTTAGGGTTTGGGGTGTAGCTGGGGTTTAGGTTGGGAGGCTCCCCCCTATACTAACAGTCCTTAGTAGGGATTAAAGCACCCCCTATTACAATCCCTATCAAGGACTGTCAGTATAATAAGGGGAACATCCCAAGGTCTAGGGTTTAGCGGTGAGGGAAGCTTCAGAGTTGTTCAACTTATGCCCGGGGGGGGGGGGGGGGGGTTCAGGCTTTGAGTTTGGGAAAGGCCATCAGGACTGGCCTTAACCCAAAACCCGAAGCCCTAAACCCTAAACCCTAAACCCTGAACCCTGAACCCTGAACCCTAAACCCTGAGAAGCACCAAAAGGTACTTCTTGGCATCCAGGAGGCTCCGAAAGCCTCGCCCTACTAGCCTACTCACATCCAACCCTGGGATGCTCCCCCTCATACTAACAGTCCTTATTTGGGACTACAGTAGGGATACTATAAGCCCTGCTCAGGACTGCTAGTATAAGGGGAGCATCCCAACCTAAGCCCTTGAACCCCCCAAAAACCTGGGAGAAAGACACGAAACAGGCGACACACCAGGAAAGAACGCAACACAACCAAGTAGCAAAACTGAAACAGTAGAATGAGTCATGCTGACCCCAAAAAAGTACACCCCCACCCTTGTGCCTCCGGACTGTGGCAGTCGGCCGGAGATGGAAGTGCACACACCCTAAACCCTAAACCCTAAACCCTAAACCCTAAATCCTAAACCCGAAACCCTAAACCCAAGCTGCCAAGAGCGCGCCTCATGGGCCAAATGTGCCGCCTCCCCAGCTGCTGCCGAGGCAAGCCTTGGGGCGCTCATTTATGTATATATATATGTATATATATATATATATATATATAATGTATATGTACATATATATATATTATGTATATGTACATATATATATATATATATATATATATATATTATGTAGATGTACATATATATATATATATTGTGATGTATATGTGTATGTATATGTATCCCTATCTATCAATTTATTTGTTTTATGTATTATCTATATTTATTGATATGTTCGGATTTGCTTGTTTTTTTGCGGCGGGGGGGGGGGGGGGGGGGGTGTTATATTTCCCTCACCGGGTTTTAGAATGTTTCGGGGTCTTTTTCAGAAACAAAGATTTACGGTTTTAAGGGTTGTCCTAGTCATTGAAAAAGCCGGCATGCGCTGGGGTGGGGCTGCTCTTACTTGCTGAGATGTTCACAGGTCAAGGGTGTCTCCTGTTTACAGTGACCAGTTGCCGGAGCCTTGTCGGCGCGATGCGCAAGCTAGCTGCGAGAGTCGAAACCAAGCCCTCTACCATTTTTGATAATAATCAAAATGATAATAGGAATAATAATATGAACAATAATAATAATAGTAATAGTAATAGTCATAATAATAATAATAATAATAATAATAATTTCTACTATTTTGAGGCCCTTGACCTGAACGCAGCCTAGCTTTCATTGCTAGGGCTAAGGGTTTCCCACGAACTCGCCACTGACTGCCAAACCTGACTCTTATGACTCTTGAAACCAGACTCCCAAAAAGCAAAAAGCAACGTGACTGGAAACCTCTGGACCTACACACTACTGTGATCCGAAACCCAGTCCAGCCCCAAAAAGAATCCAAGACCAGTTAGACTCGTGGTTTTGAGGGAATCCCGGAACGCTAAAGCCCTAAAACCTAAACCTCGCACCCTAAACCCTTGCAAGCCCTAAACCCTAAACCCTAAACCCCCTAAACCCTAAACCCTAAACCCTAAACCCTAAACCCTAAACCCTAAACCCTAAACCCTAAACCCTAAACCCCAACCTGGATCCCGAAAGCCCTGACAAAAGCCCAAATCCCAAAGTCAGAGCCTCTGGAGCCTGAAACCCTAAACAACCCTAAAGAGGATTTGAAGTAAACCCTAGACAGTAAACCTATGTCAAAAACACATATGACCACCCGAGATTGTCCTAACACATACGTGGAGGTTCGTGGGTGCTTGCATGTCGGGTTAGAAGTAGGGGCACTATGGTGACAACCTTGTTTAGGGTGCTTCTAACCCTACTTAGAAGCCCCCCTAAACCCTAAACCCTAAACCCTGAACCCTAAACCCTAAACCCGGCAACGGACTTTTAGAGGCTACCCGAAACCCCGACCCGGGACTCTCGCTGCTTCACAGCCGACCAGGCACCTCCTGTCGCCCTGGGCCGGTTTTGTCTCTGAGGGTTTAAGTTTAGGGTTTAGGGTGTAGGGTTTAGGGTTCAGGGTTTAGGGTTTAGGGGTTTGGGGGTTTAGAGGTTTTAGGGTTTAGGGTTTGGGCGGCTCATGCCCCCCTAGGCTCCATAACAGGGACCTCTGCACCCTTCATTTGGGGACTCTATACAATGATTCTGGGCATTTTGGGGTGTTTGAGGTATTTTGAGGCCGCAGGAAGGCATCAGACCGCTTCTGAGAGGCGCATACTGTAGAGATTCTGCCGTGCATGACGGGCGGGGCATGGCAAGAAAGGGACTGGAGGTGTAGATGTTGCATCAATCTCAAACCGCACTAGTCCAGAGGGCGGCACGAAACAACCCTACCACTGCGTATGAGGGCGGCGCAAAACCTCCAGCCATGCTCCTTCATAGAAAAGGACCCCGAAGACGATTCGAGTGCGGTGCTCATGAATGGCACCAACCTACATCCTGAAGCCTCAACCCCCAGACCTGGACACACCCAACCCCAACAGAAAAACAACAGCCCTGCCAACTTGAGGTCCAAGGAACTGTTTCTCGTTCTTTGGGCTTCTTGCTGCGTCTGAAAGCCTAAACCCAAATCCCTAAACCTACCCTTTACAAGATCCTGGGGGCGTGCAAAGCTCAAGGCGCTCTCATCAAATATCTGCCAAGTGTCCCAGGAGCACCATCCCTTGCGAAGGCTCAAGCCAGACCCACTACCACTACCACTACCACTACCACTGCCACCACCACCACCACCACGACGACGACGACTGCTGCTACTCGTGTACTCGTTCATATGCAATAGAACTGTGAACTCAACTATTTCTACCTGCTTTTCGGGGAAGTGTTAGGCCATGGGGGATCTGGGATCTGACAGTGAGAGATGCGAGAGGGGGCGAGCGTGCTTGCACTCGAGATTCGGGCTTGAGTTGTGCGAAATCTTAAACTTCGGGCTGCCTGCTTGTGAGAGAAGGAAGGAGCTTGGAACCACCACCCACAAAGCCCAAGCTCTTGTAGGCCCCCGCCGTCTCAACACAAAATTGATTGATAGCACCTGGGACCTGGAAAGATACCAAAAACAAACAGGGCATAGACTAGATGTGCTTGCATTGCCTTGATCGGCTTCTGCCGGCTTGATGAACCCAGGCTCTATCCTCTAAACCCTAAGCCCTAAACCCATTTGAGCTTAACCTTCCCCCCTCCCCCCCCCCTCCCCCCCCCC